AGCGTATACATACATATATATATATATATATATATATATATATATATTAAAAATAAAAGACATGCGTCCCTGGATGAAGAACATCCCTACTGAGAGTCGCCCGCGAGGTACAATACCTTATCGGAATCGTGGATAGTGCGTAAAATGAACGCAAATTAATACGGAATATTGTGTTCTCATGATGCATTGAGTTGCGGCGCTCACTACAGAGTCGTCCGTGAGACATAACATACCGCAGATAAAGCTATCGCTTGCGTCACCGAGCGCATTCCTCTGTGCAAGAGCACAGCTTAGAGTCACGAAATAAAAAGTTATAATGAATTATTAGTAAGATCTCTTTACGATGTCACTGAATCGCCGTCACCGTTCAGGCTGGAAGCAGTCGTTGAAAAAACTCTTTAATAAATTGAACGATCGACTTCCTCGACATTTGCAAAACCTGCTTGGTGTCGAGTCAAGTTACAATAAAAACTACGAACAATTATTCTCCGGAAGCTTTTGGTCACCGAGGCCGCCTCCAACGTGGAAGCTGATCCCCATCACCTTCCGTACTCCGAGATTGCCGCCACTGCAGATGCTCGATATTCTCTACAACTACTACTAAAAGTAGAACAGATATTATTGCTGCATGCACTCGAATTTAGAAAACCGCAAATGTGTAGGGGACTCGAGAGATCGCGAAAATCGAAAACTTCCCCTGCCGCAATTTATACGTATATCGCGTAAGTCTTTGTCATTGCATTATTGAATTCGGTTACGGGTTGTTCGGTATTGCCAGTGATTATAACAACGCAGGATTCTTGTGCCATCAGTGCAAGGTAGACTGTGAACGAATTCACCCTGAACAACAATTCCAATTGGTACTAAGACATTTTATTCATATCGGAAATAGTCCAGTGCCGCGAAGGTGCGAACACTGCCCGACTGAGTTGTCCATTTGTCGCGAAATAAACACTTGCGATGCGTGCGTAGACGCCTTCGTTACTTTTCTAAATCATTTACGAGAAGAAAATCAAACGTTTGAATCACTACCAGATCCGACGATTATAGACGTCGATAACAGCGTCGGAACGCATGAAATTATTTTTTCTAGAAGACTTAGTTCCTTCCTAAGTAATTTACATAGACAAAATATTAGACGAGACAACTAGAGTCTCCCGATTAAACCAACAGGATCTTTGCCGTTCGAGATCTCTGTCATTTACTCGTTAATTAAAATCGCTGCAAAATTTTAATCCAGAACCTTTGCCGCTCGAGGTTCCTTACCATACCCAAAATAAAAATTTTTATACGAAATTTCCTCCATACAGCCCGGTGTTAACACTGTGTGATAGAATCGAATCAAATTTCGCCCGGACAACGTTGCGTCATTCCTGACATAACAAACTGGTGACAGCGGTGGGGTAGGATTGTAAAAGCCACCGTATAAATGCATTTTTTTTTCTAAATTCGAGTCCCTCAACATAACGCTTATATTCTTGCATGCCCACTAACTGCATGAAAATAAAATTCAGATTCTCTGAAAATCGATTACGCATGTTACTCCTACAAACTGTAAGTGTTTAAATCATAAAAAAATTTTTAATTAATCCACAAGGCTCTGCTTGGCGGGAAAACTGCCCGGAGACCTTACTGACGTTGAGTTCCCACTCGTTGGGAAATTGTTAAATCTGCAAAGAAAAACTCTTCGCGTAAATTTCTCCTTTAAAATTTCAAAACCTAAAATCTCTCATGCAGAGAACGCCTGTCGCAATGAATATGCGATCGAATAAAAGATCTCCCCTCGAGGAAGACGTTGAACATGGATGCATGGCATCCGCAGAACGCTCCGAAACGGACGATAGAAATGATTTAAAAGCAGAAATGAACGCTTTTCGCAAAGAACGAGAAATAATGCGTGACGTCGTTGAAATGATCGCGACATTGCGTAACGAGGTAGCAGAATTACGAAACGTTACCGACCATCGCAATGAGCAAATATAATATAATAAGAAGTCCCATCAGGACTACCCTTCCTAAATCCGCGAATCTCATATCCCGATATAAATGAGGCCGCGTCAAATTTACCACCAGCACCGAGAATCTCATATCGCGAAGCGACCGAGTTTGTTCCATATTACGACGGTTATAACATACCACTGAATAAATTCATAAGCGCTTGTAGACAAGCACGAGATATACTATCACCAAATTACGAACGATCTCTTACACGATTATTAATTGCAAAATTAAGAGGCAGAGCTCTGCAGTAGCAGATGAATCATGCAAATCAGTAACGCAGCTAACTGATTTATTAGTGAGCGCATTCGGCTCTGTAAAAAGCGTCGCTCAATATCGAGGAGAATTGACCACGATTCACATAAAGGCGCAAGAACATATTTTGAATTACATAGATCGAGTAAAAGAACTCAGATCCACAGTAATGGATGGCGAAGAAGAGCGCGAGGTAGATTAAATAGAGAGATAACGAATGAAATAGATATCCAGATGGCGGAATGCTTTTGCAACGGGTTGCCGACTGTTTATCGCCTCCAATTGAAACCCGAAC